ATCCACCCCTTGGCGCCCATATGACTTTATGCAGTTGAGAGCGCCGTAAAACACTCTACTAAAACAAAACTAAACCAGTAGCGAGAAGTTCCCGGACTGGAACTGGAAAATAAAAGGAAAAAAAATCGGGGGAATAAACGAACATGACGTTAGTGTATGACTCGGTTATTTCCCTTTGATCCAGTGCCTGTTCTAAACTTTACCTCGGTTATTTCCCTTTGAGTATGGGAGCATGGTAATCTGCCCTTTTTATGATAAATCACCATGGTTTAATTATCATCTCCCCTTATTGAAATTAATTGACATTGTTTTTTAAGTTCTGGATTTTTATTATTTATGTATTTTTATTTTTTTTGGGGTATTCTTTAGACATCTACGTCTTACGAGACCTTATGCAGTTGCGAGCGCCTCGTTTTTAAATTCAGTCTTAAAATTGGAAAACCGCTCGTAGTCCTTGTAGTTCGACCGTCTAGATGTTGGGGTAGAGAGTGACAAATCTTGTAGTTCAAATCTCTGTTTGGCTCCACGTTGTACCATAGAATCACAACGGGTGGTAGGTCTGTCCTGTTTGGCTCCAGGTTGTACCATAGAATAATAACGGGTGGTAGGTCTGTCCTGGTTTACTCCGACAATATTGTGCTCAGTTCATTCGTTGCAATTAATTGGAATTCATCAGACGGTAAAGATAGAATACATTATACTTCTGTATGGCAGGCGTGAGCGCCTAGCAAGTTGCAGCAATGTACATCAACTGTGGCTCAGATGTGTCTTGTGGACAACATCTCTGTGGGACTTTTCGTGTTACGACCTTTGAAGGACTCGTTAGGACCTAGATCTTATTCTATGTGGGACTTATAAAGGACTTTTGAAGGACTTGTTATGTTTGTTTTGTTTTTGTAAAGTGTTTTACGGCGCTCGCAACTGCATAGGTCATATGAGCGCGCGGGACACACTAATATTTTCAGTTGGTAGGAAAATTTTGAATTTTGCCCGGGTGGCGGCCGAAGCCTAGGCCTACTCTTATCGATTTTTAGACCACCAAGGGATCTTTAACGTGCGCAACTTGCACACGGGCCCTCCGAGATTTTTCGCCCTTGTCCGAGAAGGCTAG